TTTTTTTTCAGCCTTCGAGTATAATTTGGATCTCTTTTGGCAACCTTTTCTTTTCAATAATAGGATATATCATCTGGACAACTAACACAGTCATTTGATAAATATGCTTCCAGTTGTACTAGTTTTCTTCGTGACCATTTTTTCTGCAATAACTACAAGTAGCCTCATAGTAGCTATTATTTTTTTTAATTTTTTTAATAAAGTAATTCCATATCTCAGAAAATTAATAAAGCTTATTCTTATTTTGAAGTACACTTGGTAAGTGTACAGCTATTGAGGTTTGTTTATTGGAGGTATCTGTTACCTTACTAATAGCTGTTGCTGTTGTTTGAGTATCTTTGACTTCTGAACTAAATTTTTCTTCATTTTCTAAAAAGAACCTATGTCTTTTTCTTGAACTTTCTTCATTCGGTTTGCTTGTTGCTATAATCTGAAATTTTGACAAAAAATTGTAAAAATGAAATGATATTTAATGATAATCTATATTATACACAAATATCATGTGATTAGAATTTTTTTCACTAATCTTACTTTTTTTTTAAGTCCCAATTATATTCAACTTAAATATTTATATCTTTTAAGAGGTTCTAACAGATATGTGACTATATCCTCAAATAACCCAGGAGTTAAGTTTTTTTCATCTTTAATATCTGATTTAATATAAACCATTTATTTCTTGGTCTTATTTATATATTGACATTGTAGTGATAATGTTTATTTGATCCTAAGGTATAGCAAAATATTACAAAATTTCATATTACAAAGTTTTTTTTTTTTTACTATCCCTATACCAATTAGCTACTTTAATCTTTTGTTATCTCGAGCTTGCTTTGCTTTAAGTTGACTCATATACAAGTAAGTTTAGTAAATTATTAAATCTACGATCTTTGACTTTCGCACATTTTATATACATATTATTTATAAGACAATAATATGTTAATTTGAACAGCAACTATATTCATACAATTGTCACTCTTCGATTTAGTATATACTATAAATTT